TATATATATATATATATATATATATATATATATATATTCTCTGAATAATATGTCTAATGTGATCATGGTATGACCCCTTGAAAGTGAGAAGCCTCTGATGTAAAATTAGTTCAGCTATGTGTGAGTGTGCTACTATGCCAGCATCTGATTTAATCTTAACTCTCTCTTTCTTTGTGCCATCAGAAATGCCAGGCCAAAGGCTTCATGTGTGAATTGTGTAAAGAGGGTGACATTCTCTTCCCATTCGACAGCCACACCTCTGTCTGTCATGACTGCTTCGCTGTTTTCCACAGGTTTGTTTTTGAACACATCAGATACAATACCAATTGCCACATGCCATACGCATTGCTATGGGGCCTTGGAAGGGATAGGCTTGGTTTGCAAAATGTTGTTGTGACCACATTATATTAACTAATGGGAATGTGATAATATATCTTGGCCACAAAATATTTTTTGAGGCCATAAAATAATTTTGTCAAAATAACCACATCGTTATCTTGTGGCCATGGAATGTGAAGTCATAACCTTGAGATCCCATGATAAGGGAATAACATCTTTTTCTCATGGTTATGAGAAAACAGACTTGTATTACTACAGCAATGTGCAATAATCAGAAATAATCTGATTGATGAAATTATACTTTATTTTAAAATAGGATTTACATGTAAAGGATATAATGTCAACAATTCTGTGTTTTTCTGTCAATATGGGGTGCTGTGTGTACATTGAGGAAAAAAAAATTAACTTAAATGATTTTAGCAAATGGCTGCAATATAACAAAGAGTGAAAAATTTAAGGGGGTCTGAATACTTTCCGTACCCACTGTAAATGACATATAAATATGTCAATAGTAAAAGGAATCTAAAGCACATAATTTACGGAATTCTTTAAAGTTCACCCAAAAATGAAAATCAATTAATCATTTACTCACCACTGTGTTGTTCTAATGTCGTATGCCCTTCTTTCTTTTTCAGAAATAAATAAATAAATAAAAAACCTCCTGTGCGTGTTCGTCCATATAATGGCAGTGAATAGTTTCAGAGAATAGCGATTTCGCGTCTTTTCAAAAAAGACGCAAAAGTATCACAGAATGGTCCCATGCAACACATGCCATATATTCCTAATGTTCTGGGGGTATACGATAGGGTTTGGTGAAAAACAATTAAAAAAAAAACATTATTTAATGAATATCCTGACCTTGACCGTTGGTCTCTGTGGACGTGGTACATTTTTAAAAAAAAAACTCCTTTTGTGCTCCGAAAAAGAAAGAAGATCATACGGCATTAAAACAACACAAGGGTGAGTAAATGACTTAATGACTTTAATTTTGGGTGAACTATTCCTTTAAGGGATAATTGCAAGCGCAAGGAGTCCCATTATTCACACATAATGTGTGTATGTCTGTAATTAAATCTTGATAAGAGTGCAATAGAGACCTTTATATGTATGTGCCTTGTTATAGCAAATGCCCGCTTGATATACAGTAAATGTATTTGACTCTTCCTAACTTGCTCTCTTCATTGTTGCTTTGCCATGACAGAAGTTGACCTTAAAGAGAAAATCCCACTTGTGGCAATGCTGAGAATTCAAGGTTCTTGTAATTCAAGCAGTGTACTTGTACTGCTTAATGGAACTGCACATTAAAGAATGCAGTAATGCACGGAATCAAGCTTGTGTTTAGAAGCGCTTGCATTCATGTACCTGTTCTGTTCTATTAAGTTTAGCTTTTGTTCTTGATTGTGATATGGCTGTCTATCTCAGGGATTGTTACTATGATAACTCGACCACATGTCCGCGCTGTGCAAGAATGCTGGAACGGCAACATGAAGACTCTCAGAACCCGTAGATCAGCCTGACAGATGGATGCATCGCAAACACTGTCAAAGATCTTCAGAGTCAGAACTTTGGTATGTGTGTCTTGTCTCATCTTCTGTATATTTGTTCTTGAGGTTTTAACCATGCTCTTGTCAGCTTCTGAATTTACATTAATAAAGTGTGATCAGCATAGCAGGAAAACCACATTTTGAAATCAGTTTCCATCTGTTTTCCCATAAATATAAATATAAATATTCTTGTTACTGTTACATGTCTTATGTCCAAATAGAAACCATCCATGTCAAATTTTAACAATGGCATGTTCCTCTTGAGACTGTGAGATCAGTTTGATTTCTTTCTGCATGTAATCCTGGGTAGCATGCTTTTTAGGCACCAGGAAAAGATACTACAAGGCAACACTATGTTCTACTTTATAGTTACATCCCCATTATGCACTGTGGCTTAAAAAATGTTGTAGATAGTATTCTAGGACATATGTTGTGCAACTGTTTCTGGTTTATGAATATCTCAGAATGGATTCTTCTGTAATGCAATTACCTGGTGTAAAATTGCTGTAATTGTGCAAGAGAACATATAAAGTGTTATGAAGTCCAATATCAATGTCTCTTTACACAAAACATGAATAAAACCAAAAATGGAACATGCTCAGCTGTCTTCCAGTGTAGGAGATGAGCCACACAGGCACCAATGGTTGAATCAACAGATGACTTGATCAGAATCATTTGATAAGAATTGGAGAGCCAAATTACAAAGCAACACTTTACGACCCCAATCCAGGTCATGTGACACCATCTGGACTGAGAATGACAAACTTCCCCCACAATTTAATTAACCTCAAACAAAGAAACCCTTTCAACTCAAGGAATAACTGGTCAAATTTATGTTGTTTCAAACCAAGAACAAATGGTCAAAAGCACAGCGTGACTTAAAGAAATTCATGAGCTAAACACCTGGTGATTCTTCCCCACTCAAGACAAAGAGATAACATAGACCTTGCCTTAAAGCACCAACTCCTCTCTAAACCCAGAAACTCTCACTAAATATTAAAATGCATCAGATCATCCTCAAAACGATGATAAAGGGCTTATAATCAAATGTCATTTCATTGCATAACTCAATATCATGTCTGAAACCCATATATGTGAACATTAGGCTTTCATCATGCATTACGCATGAAATTATTTCTAACTATTGAATGGTTTATCGCAAGTGTATCTTGTTTGGTATGAGTGAGATTTCTCTTCTCTTCCTTTCATTTCTTTAATCACGATGTTAATCAAACCTGTGTAAAATGAATCACATTCACATTAAAAAATTCATGTTTAAATTGTACCCAGTTAAAAGCAGGAAAATTGGAGCCCACGTGACTAAGAGATAGCATGCTGATTTACAGTAATAGGAGGAGAAACAGTCACACCCTGAATCAAATACAATACCTGATTGGTCAGAGCTCCACTTGGGGCCAGAACAATCAGCTGAGTTTAAAACCCAATACTCAGAAGAGAAGAGGCAGAGAACCAAATCCAGACTGAGACTCAGACTCGGTCTCAGACTCTCCCATCTTAAGATGGGTTAAGACCGGACAACATCCCATCTAACCTATTTCTTTTCTTTAGTTCCTTCCTTTTCGTTTAAGTTAAGCTTCGCCGCTAAGCCACAGTCTATACGACTATAGTCTTTGCCAGCCTCAAACTTTAACTGACCACGAGACTCCGCTCCACTGGCCAACACCACAACCTGATTGGCTTCCCAAGACATCACGCCAGCGACGAACAGACCACCAGTGAACCCACATGGGAACCCCGTCAACAACGGACACCACAGAAGGAATCCCCATTCAAAGAGACGCAACAAATTTAAGTAATGCCTCTCATGCTGAACTGGTGCATAGCTTTAATTTAATAACCCTGCCTAGAAATGATAGAAGGGTTGAATTACTGATTGATGGTTCACTTAGTTAGGTCTTATAAAACTTGGGATTACATCATTTCACTCTCTTAAACTCTTTCTTCCTCACTTTCCCTCTTTTCTGCAACTCGTATGAATGTGTGTGTTTGTGTTAGGTGCTAGTTGTATGTGTTAGATTAGTCAATAAAGTCTCGTTTATATTTAAAGAGAAGTGTCTTGTGTTATGTTTATCAATTTATTGCTTTAATCTGCCGATCTTGTTACCGTGCTAAGAATGGTGTTTTCACTATATGTCGGATATTAGTATCCATTGCAGAGCCGACAGTTACGGCCTGTTCAAATGAGCACTGGACGATTCAATTGCTTGGTCGTAAAAAGTAGATTATTTCAAATTCCCCTTTAAATTAATTAATAATTCCCTTTGAGCTAATTTGATCTGTTTACCCCTACACCAGCCTGCTTTTAGCATCACTCAAGTAGGGTAAGATGACCACCACACCTTAATAAAAAAAAATTATCTTCACCCTAGATGGCATAGATTATGAATGGCTTTGCTTTAATTAATTTTGTAATTTCATCTGAACACACATACACACACATATAGTGGCATGCAAATCTTTGGGCACCCCTGGTCAAAATTTCTGTTAATGTGAACAATTAAGCAAGTGGAAGATGAAATGATCTCCAAAAGGCATAAAGTTAAACGTGAAACACTCAATATTTTAAGCAATATCGCTTTGTATATATAAAAACAATATTGTTTTTGTTTTCTACAATTTTAGAGTGAAAGAGGGGAAAGCAGCACCCTGCAAAAGAATGGGAACCCCAGGAGACTTGAGCTCTCAGATAACTTTGACCAAGGTATCAGACCTTAATTAGCCTGTTAGGGTCATGGCATGTTCACAGCCAAAATTAGGATGGCCAGGTGATGCAGATTTCAAAGCTTTATAAATACCCAGACTCCTCTAACCTTGTCCCAACAATCAGCAGCCATGGGTTCCTCTAAGCAGTTACCTAGCACTCTGAAAATGTTTGATGCCCACAAAGCAGGAGAAGGCTATATGAAGATAGAAAAGCGTTTTCAGGTACCAATTTCCTCAGTTCGGAATGTAATTAAGAAATGGCAGTTAACATAGGTCAAGATAAGGTGTGGAATACCAAGAAAAATATCAGAGAGAACTGATCGTAGGATTGCTAGAAAAGCAAGTCAGAACCCCCGAACACAAGCCTTGATGCATTTTGGAAAAAAATGTCCTGTGGGCCGATGAGATTAAAATGGAACTCTTTGGCAGCAATGAGAAAAGGTATGTTTGGAAAACAAAGCGCACAGAATTTCATGAAAAGAACACCAATCCAACTGTTAAGCATGGGGGTGGATCGATCATGCTTTGGGGTTGTATTGCAGCCAATGGCACGGGAACATTTCACGGGTAGAGGGAAGAATGGATTCAATTAAATTCCAACAAATTCTGGAAGCAAACATAACACTATCTGTACAAAATCTGAAGTTGAAAAGAGGATGGCTACTACAAATGGATAATGATCCTAAACACACCTCAAAATCCATGACAGAGAGATGGTAGTGCACCAAGTGTCAACATTTTATTTATTGCCCCCTCATAAAAATCCCCCCCTCCCTCCCACCATAACTGGACACCTGTTTGGACACCCCCCACCCGTCTAACTGGACATCTGTTTATCCACCCCAGCGATCGAAAGGAATTTATGACTGTTTGGGAATGTTTTTTGTGTGTGGGGCCATTGAAAATGTTAAAAACTATGTGCTTTAAACTTTAAAATGTGAAACGTAGTATGGTTATTAAACGGGATAAAGGGAAGTTTTTTGTTAAAGTTTTTTCACACATTTCTAGAAAAACATCAAACATACACGATAGAAACAATGTAATGACTGTTTTTCCAGAAAATAGTAAAAACGGGTCAAGACAAGTCTACGGGGGACAGTGAACATCGTGGAGCAGCTGGTAAAGGTTGGGTCAATGGTGGTGTAACACAGTTCGTAGTTACGGGAAGAAGGAGACGGGAACCGGCGAACACTCAAAGAAAACTTTAATAATAAAATAAACACAAAACAGCGCGACAGCCCCTCGCGGACGACTGTTGCGCACAAACAGAACCAAAACATAAAATAAAGTCCAGGCCTGGTCCTCTCTCGTCCAACACTGTTGTCACTCCTCCTTTTATCCTTCCAGAGCTCCCCCGTGGGACTCGAGACCGGTGAGTGGCGCAGGTGTCGCACATTAGCATTTCCTCCACCGGCCTCGCTCCGTTCCCACGGCTCTCAGCCCCGCCCCTCTCGTCACAGGTGGAAAGGGATTGCATGGGAGCGAAGGACTACTGGCAAAAAGTTGGTACCCAAGGTGGCAAAGAGAAAACTAAGAAGTTTGCAGAGCGGACAAACAGCAAAAACCTGGCTGGACTGACCCTGGCATAACCCCATCAAGTCACATCTCTCCTCGTCGTTCCTGTAAGGGTGAATGGACAGGAGGTGAAGGTGGTCTTAGACATGGGAAGCACTTACACCTTGATGCAGGAGAGCCTGTAGAAACAGCTGAAGACTGAGAGTCCACCAGTCATTTCCTCTGCCCCGCAGAGATTCATAATGGCAGATGGAACGATTCACCAATCCAGAGACCTGCAAAAGTTCCTGTATCACTGGCATGATCAAGAGTGCATGGTGGATACATATATCCTAAAAGACTGCTTTTATTACCACCAAAGGGCTATTTCAATTCAAATCTATGCCATATGGTCTCAGAAACTCTGCAGCCACCTTCCAGCACTTGATGGAGAGAGTTCTGGCAGACTGGAAGCGGAAGATCTGTTTCGTCTACATCTACGATATCACCATCTATTCTAAGACATTAGAGCAGCACATTCAACATCTCAACACTGTCTTCCATAAACTTACCCAGGCTAACCTGACCCTGAATATGAAGAAATGCCACTTCTTCAAACGACAGCTCAAGTTCCTCGGCCATATAGTCTCCGAGAGGGGTGTGGAGATTGACCGAGAGAAGACCCGGGCTTTTGCAGAGTTCCCCCCACTGCAGGACCTTAAAGCTCTGCAAAGATTTCTGGGCTTGGCAGGGTGGTATCATAAGTTCATACCCCACTTTGAGGACATCGCTGCTCCATTGCACCGCCTTAAAAAGAAAGGAGTTAAGTGGGAGTGGACTCTAGAATGTCTAGATAGCATGAATGCACGTAAACAAGCATTACAAAACTCACCTGTACTCATCCAACCTGACTTCAACAAAACCTTTCAAGTGCACACGGACGCAAAGTGATGTAGGACTGGGTGCTATCCTCACTCAACACGCCGAGGATGGAGAAAAGGTAGTAGAGTACGCTTCACGGACCTTAACAGGGGCAGAAAGAAGTTATAGTACATATGAAAAGGAATGTCTAGCTGTGGTTTGGGCTGTTGAAAAGTGGAGGCATTACCTGGAGGGGAGGCCGTTTGATGTCTTTACGGATCATACTGCACTCGCCTGGGCCTTCAACTGCCCCAAAACCTCCTCACGCCTCACACGTTGGACTCTCCAACTGCAACAAATCAACTTTCAGGTCCATCACAGGAAAGGCTACCTCAACATGGGTCCAGATGCCTTGTCCAGGGCATGCGAGCCACCTTCTAGTCATGCTGTCCCATGCCTTTCCATAAGTTCTTATCACTTATCTACCTTACCACATTCATTGG